TGTATTTGACATAATTGCTCAAGAGTAAAAATGTAGAACTGGATCTCCAAACCACAAGGTCAGCTACCTAAGGAGGTGTAACCATTTTAGAGCAGGCAAATTTGATTGTCTGCAGCATATTAAGTAATTTTTCTCTTAAAACTGCCATTTTTCTAGGCAAAAGCTATGGAACTAAAGTAGATTGGATGGATTCTACTTCACATGAAACTGCCCTTTGGGAGAAGATGATGAACTCTCCAAACACCTGGATAGAAGATACACTACCTCTCAGGATGCTTATGGTTGCCAAATTGACTAAATAAGGTGGATTTTTATTTGTTAGTGTCAAAAAGAAACCTTGGGAATTAAATTGAAAGCATGGGGGTGGAACCTGGAAGAGGAACACAGTAGTAACTTTTTTGACAGCTTCTGCTCTGTTACTGTTCTGGTTTTGTGCTGTCAGATGTCACTTGGTATTTCAAACATCTGCTTGCAGATCGTTATGTAAATTGTAGGGATTTTAAAATTTCTTATTCACTGAAAACAACTTCAAGAAGGTGCTTACAGAACCCAGTGTTAGAGGTAGCTGTGATACCTGGATGACTGTGTTGTCTAGCTGAAGCATTTCTGATCCCTTAAATGATCCCAATAACCAGCAGAAATATAAGAGCAAGTCAACTGTTTCTGTACATTGCTTGGCTTGTTCTTGAAGCCTTACTGATAAGACAGCAGCATTAGTGTTAAAGCTCATTGGTATGTATTTGTATCCTCATTATGCCATGTTAGATCTCACCAGCATGGAATATGGGCATGAAGAATTTAGTTTTTTGAAAGTTCCTCTAGCTTTAATTGTACATTTCTAGGACATGAAAGTTACTTCCCCAATGAAAGAAGTGTAGCATGAAGTGGTACTGTTGATGTCCTGTTCTACAAGGTGCAGAGGACTTAGTTCCAATGTACTGTTAAAAATCAGGGTTATAAAAGGTTTGCTTTACATCATCTTGTTAGCATACATTACTTAGTCTTAAGTGCTGAAGATGTAAAGGTGAAACTTTTTTTATTCCAGTGCTACTCAAAAGGATCTACATGTGCCAATTTTAGTGATGACAAGAATGTTGGGTATTTATTCTCGAAAGTGCTCTTGTTTGTACCTGTATCCATTAGTTTGGGGTTTTTTGCAGAAACTGAGCTTACCTGTGCTTCAGCGCCACCGTTAGGAGACTGGGAGGACTGTGGTGGGCTTTGCTTAGTTTTGAGGCATAGGAAATAAGACTGGAGTTTTTAACTTGTAGAAATGCATGCTACTGGTAGATAAACACATAAAATAAAAAATATATTCCTTTTGTTTTCTTTTTTTAAATAAATGCAGCCTATTTAAACTAAATAGGAATTCAGTTTTTATTAAATTCTAGTGGTATATGTTAGCCATTCAGCATGCAATATAACAAAATGCAGACAGAAAACATTTTTGAAAATAAATGCACAATTATTTACTCCAGATAAGTCTAAAAGCTGCTGAAATCTTTCACTTCAGTTAGGGTAGAGGGAGAAGGGAGCTCTTCGCAGCTGTAATGTAATTGCTTGATTTAATAATAGAAATTTAAATGCTACTTGGTATATATTATACACTGTGAATGGAAAAAAAGGAAAGATGCTCTTCAACCTTCCAGGGAACCCACTTTCTCTCTCATCAGCCAGGCAGTCTGTGGAGTCTAAAAGTGTCAAAAGCAGTTTGCCAGTCTTTGATATCTTCCTGCTTCAGGTGTTTTGTATGAGATTGGTAACTGCTACAGCTTCCACTCTGCTAGATATATACAAAACACTTTTTGACTAGGGAACACATGCACATGACACTTCAGAACAATGTCTTTTTACCAAAATGATACAGCTGGTCCAGAAAGAGTCACTCCAGAAAGGATGGTGATTCTGAAAAAGAAAAGGCACCTAATTTATTTGTGTTTGCTCCCTACATGAATAAATTTTTCATCTGAAAACATAGCTGGCTGTGAACATGATCTACAGTGTCACAGAATTAGTGGTTGTGTTGCAGTTTTATCTCCGGTGAAGCTCAAATACATTGTGAAGTCAAATCAGCTGTAGGCTCAATTGCAGAGATGGGGTCTTAAGGCTTCACATTTGCAGGACCTGCCTGTGTTTTGCCTCCAAATTTGCAGGACCCTCAAAGCCAGCAAGTGACTCAGAAGTCACTATTGAAGGGCTGCTAAATAGTGGGCCACAAGTGTCATGTAATCTGCTGTCTTCTATACTCTACCAAATTTTTATACCTAAACTTCACTGCTATCAAAATAAAATGTTTATTTTGTGACAGTGACAATCTCTTTGTCTTCTGATCAAGTAGAAGACATTCTGTGTCTTGCTATTCTTTTAGTCCTCCTAGAGACTGACACAGAATTTTTCTGGAATCTCAAAAGACTCTGTATCACCTCACTAATAGACCTCAAATTTTGAAAAGCTACCTGAACATGAATATGTTAACATGTAATTAACATTAATATGTTAATTACAAGTGCAATATGCAAGATTTACTTGCATATTGCACTTGTAATTAACTAGTTTGATTAACTAGTTAATTATCTAATGACATAGGTACTGATCTAGGTTGACCAAGAAACTGAGACAGATAACAAAAACTGTCCTTTACATACAAAACTTCCTCCCCAGTTTTTAAATACCTTTCATTGTGTACAGAATCATTAACTTCAGTAGTATGATAATATGCTGACAGAGAAATGTGAGTTGGGAAGTTGATTAAGACAAAAAGTTTCAAGGAACTACTTACTTTGTTCTCAAGGCAAAAGGAAAGCCTTTAGTCATCCATAACCAAAATTTTGAAGAAGCATAATTAGCTACTCATTAAAGGGCAGTTTGATAAATTAATAGCTATGCTTTGTCATAAAGGTGAACTGGAATTAAGAATCAAAGCAGCCACACTCCTAAAATATCTTTATGTATTCATTCTTGTCTGCAGAAACACAACAGTTCCTTCCTCTCTTCTCCTTCATGTTACAAGTTCATCTGTCTTTTATCCCATGATTTATTTTTCTTTTTAGCACTTATGTGTGTATATGCATATATACATGTGTGTATATCTTCTGAATTATACTGTTTCCACTTCCTATAAAATAGGCTTCAAACTCCCAGCTCTCCTTTGAGCTCTGTGTTCAGAAACCTCCCATTGCTGCAAGTAGGGCTGCAAACCTGAGTTGGTGCAGCAACTCCCACTTCTTTGGTTTCACCCATTTTGAAATCTGTCCTGTGCCCTCCTTTACTTGTGTGCTTCATGTCTGTTACCCACAGCACTCTCCTCTTTCTCCTTTCCCTTCCCAGAGGATTCAGCAAAGCCTGCACTGACTTGTTTCTTCCAGTTGCATTTATTTTTCCCTTCCCTATCCTGTTGGCCAGATTTTTATTAGCTGCTAAATAAAGTTGCGAATTGTTCAGGGCAAGGTCTGTCTTTACTTTCCATGGACCTTCAGTCTGTTCTGAGGTCAGAGCCTGCTATTCTGATTCTGGCATGCGCAGGATGTAAGCCGAGAACGAGGAGTTCTTCAAGCTTGTGGAAATTCTCTTTCCTTTCCAAATCTGGGTGCTTTTGAGAGTGTCAGCAATGTTTGTTTGCTAAGAAACACTGCCAGCTCTTTCAGCCACCCTGGTGGGGCTGGCCTGGCTCCAAGCAGCCTGGATGAGGTCATGAGCTCTGGAGTGACTGGATTCAGCATCTTACCTCTATGGAAACAGAGCCTCACAACAGGAGAGTCAACAAACAGCAGGAAGAAAATACCTGGTAAGAAAATAGTTTTCTTTTCTTAAACCCTGCTCTTCGTTGTATTTCCACTGAATGGCCTAAACCTTTCAGTCCTTCACTCTCTCCTCCATTATTTGCAAAGGATCCAAGGCAGCAACAGCAGTGAGAGAGTGCAGGATGGTGGAGGCAGAGCTGGTGTCTGTACTGAAGTCACTACTGCAGAGCTGTGAAATGCTTTGTGCTTCACAGGAGTTTATTCATTTTTGTTGTACATTATCTGTCATCCTTACTTTAAGCTGGCTCCTTCCCTCATCCTATCTTTACCTCTAGTCAAAGCTCAGGAATTCACAAAATCTGATTACCTGTGTGCTGTTTCATGTGCTGTTTCAGGTATGTGTCCAAATGAAAAACTTGGAGATGAGTTGCAGGTTAATTTTTCAAATGTCTGGGTAGCATGCTGTGTGATTCAGCACCAATAATCATTTTGCAGTAGAAATATTTTCCTTATTTTTAAATTAAGAACCAGATTTTTAAAATTACACGTCTAAATTAATCTAGCAGATCAGTGTGAAAACTCAGTTGAGGAACTGTTTCTCCAGACACAGAGGCTTAGTATCACAGAGCATTCATTATTTATTAAGATGGTATAACTCTTTTGATTCATAAATCTCTAAGCACAGTATAAGGTTATTCAGTTATTTTTAACTAGCAATGAAATCTTGTAAATCAATTAAAAGTTTGACATAACCCTCTGTGTTTTATTTGCAGTTACAATACAGAGCTGTAGGAGACAATAAAGGCAGAGGAAAAGGATTGTGTAAGGAGTTATTTACAGCTTTATCACTTACAAGCTTTTAACCTAAATATAATAGTAGTTCTTGTAACTACAACAGCAGTGCCTCAAGAAGGAATAATTAGCTAAGCTAGTCATCAGCAAATGAATAGGCTTGCATAAATACTAAGCCCACACTCTTTGCTGTTGCTCACAGAGTCTGGCATCCTTGAGTCTCAGTGTGCCTGTCTCCGAACCAGAGGAGGGGGAGGGCAGCAGGCCTGTGTAGTTTCTGGCTGACATTGGTTTTGGGAGGTCCTGTTCCCCCACATCAGTTTCTCTGGACTTCCAGAGAAACACCACTAGCTTATGGCAGCAGTGTTGGCCACACAACCACAGGGCACTGTTTAATTATGCTGAGTGTCACTAACAGAAGAAGCCACTATAAAATTTTATCTTGTCTTTGCATAAGACAGGTGCTCCATGGCTTAGGAGACAGGAGCAGCTATGGCTGACTCCACAGGTGATCCAGAGACAGGCCAAGATGTGGAAGATCTGACAAAAAGCTTGGAGGAACTCTGTGAGAGCTCTAAGGAGCAGAGTGAGGAGGTGCTACTGCTTTCACACCTAGAACAGCATCATCATCTTGTCTCTGTACTGAAGGGGAAAGTGGATGACACACACAAACGCTGCAGAGACCTGGAGCAGCTCAACATGGAGCTGGAGAAACTGAGGGGAGAGGATGCTGTGAAAATTAAAACCCAGACCCACCACATTCAGTATTTGGAGGGGCACTTCACAGATCTGGTCAAAAACCATGAGAAGATGATCCAGTTCAAAAATGAGCACAAAAACAGCACCTGCAGCTGTGGGAGGAGAGCAAGCGCCTGCAGCAGGACAGGGAAGCACTCTTCAGCCAGGCTGTGAGGAAGAAGGAAGCTGAAGTGCTCCAGCTGGCAGCCCAGGCCAGGAGGCTCTCACAGCAGTTCTGCTCCTTGCAGGAGAAATATGCTTCTGAGAGTCACAGAGCCCAGGAGCGAGAGAAGGAGCTGCTGGAAGCTCAGAGCCAACTAGCAGATGCCTATGCCCAGGAGGTGGATTCATTCAAGAGGCAGCTGCAGCTCCTACAGGAGAGGCAGCACCAAGCTGCTGCAAGGGCCGAGCAGGCAGAGAGCCAGCAGAGGGCTCAGGGCAGTGAGCTGCAGGCCAAGCTGGAAAGGGCACATGAAGAGAAAGAGCAGCTACTGAACCTGGCCATGGAGAGGAGCCAAGCTCTGCAAGATAAGGAGCGGGAGATTCAGAAGCTGGAGGAGAAGCTAGAGACTGTGGAGGAAGCCATGCAGAGAGCAGGAAGGTGCCTCAAGAAAGAGGCAGCAGCAGCAGACAGAGATCTGAAGGTTCAAGAGCTACAAGGACAGCTAGAACACAGCAAGCAGGCGTACAATGAACTCTTGCTGCAGTTCAATGCTTACAGAAAGCACAGTATGGATTTGCTGACTAAGGAGAGAGCTCTGAACATCAAACTCCATCACTTTGCTGCATAACTGCAGTTTTTTTCTCTGTTCTCCTCTCAACAGGTGCTTCTGTGGTAACACACGCCTGAATTTTGTTCCTCTCCATGGGACCATCCTCTGGTTTCTTTGTACTGTCCTCACCATCTTGAACCGTCCTCCACTGACAGCTCTGTAGCCTTTTTGTCATTACGCCTTTATGAAAGTAAATCACTACACTCTTACAGCTGGACATGGATCATTGAACCAGTCAATGATGTGACATGGACGATTAGGGTGGAAAACATAAACTATGAATTTGATTTATTTGGTACTAACCTCTGCTGAATCATAAGTTTTCTTTTTTTTTTTTTTAGTTAAAACCATTTTATTTTTCAAGATGACCAAAAGCTCAAACTCTCAGCCTTTTGTATTTGCTTCTGCTTTGAAGTTCAGCAGAGGCTGGGAACGTAAGAGGCTCTGAGGCTCCAAGAAAATCCTACCTTACAATATCTCTGCAATTCTCTAAATTCAGCAACTTAACAGATAATCCAATAATATCATATGACAACTGATTCTCAAGCAAACTACTGTTTGTAGTTTTCTAGTAGTCTTACAGATTTCTGCAGTCATTTAAACTCTATTTAATGCCAGAGTAGCATTTATATCCCCACTCAGCTCAGAATAAATTGTCAAGACTTTTGCATTATTTCAATCTGTTCTTTCGAACTGGACAATGTTCTAGATGTTCCACCAGGGTGTTTTTCCTGTTTTTAGCTGTTTCATGCAGCTAAATATTAGTGATACACTCTTCCATTTTGTGCACGTCTGGCAGCTTTTGACAAAAAGAAAAACCTTTGCTATCAGCACTGTGGGATCCAGAGACCTCCCACTCTCTCTTGCTGGTCTCCTAGGCAAGAAGGAAGATTTTTGCTGTGGAATTTCAGCTCTGTTCTTTAAGTCTCCAATAAAAAAAAAAAAAAAAAAGCAAACCCCAAAACAACCACCATGAGGGGCCAAACAGCATCCCCCACCTGGGCTGTAGGCAGCTGCAGCTGCCTCCAGAGTATCTCAAGTTCTTTGCCACATAACTCAAGAATCTAGGAAAGGGATTGAGTATTTCTTGGGCCTGAGTATCTATAAGCCACAGCAGGGTATCAGACTTGGTATCTATTGAGATCATTTACAGAAATGATCGGAAGCAGCAGGTCTGGAGGCCAGTGACCAGCTCAAGGACTGGCTGAACCAGATGTGATTTCTGGCTCTGGCACAGGATTCCCAGAGGAGTTGTGGATGACCCCATCCCTAGAAGTGTTCAGTGTGAGGCTGATGGGGCTCTGAGCAACCTGGTCTAGTGAAAGGTTTACCAGCTCAAGGCAGGGGGGTTGGAACTAGGTGATTTTTAGGGTCCGTTTCACCCAAACCATTCTGTGATTGTGACTCTACATAAGCAGCAGCTGCTAGCAGCCTTTCTTCTGAACTCTGGACAGCCCTTGAACCCAGGCAAAATGAGATGAGAAGTATTGCTCTACTACCTGCTGTGTGACGAACCGCAGCATTTCTTCTCATCCTGGCTCCTACAACTGTCATTCCACAGGTGTTTCATGGACCACATTCTCCTACCTTTTAACCATACTCCCCTGCTCTGAGGTGCCCACCCCACACACACGTTTCATTAATCTCAGTGCTGGCAGCTACAGTGTAAACCCCAAGTGACTCATGTCACACACTATGCCCTTGGTCTGAGAGCTGGCTGCTCTGAATTAGTCCCTTGATGAGGAGCACTTGTATCTCTCTGGTCACTGCAAGAGACCCTGAAACCAGGTGCCTAAATACTCTAAATCTGGGCAGGGGACACTCACTCACTTGTGTGACAGAACAGCCCCACAGGGCTCTGCCCCAGCCACAGCCATGGGGTGGTGGGAAAGACCCCACATTCTGCACTCTTCAGGGAATCCCCTTCCCACCCTTTGGCAATAGCTATGTGTGAGAGACCTTCCCCCCTACTGCCCCACACACAAACCCCTTGTCACTCCCCCATTCCCTCCTGCACTCCCATCACTCACACTCGCCCCTCCTGCATATTTCCCACACACCTCTCCTCCCCCAAATCACACACATCTCCCTTACAGGCCCAGCCTCCCACACCTGTCACCCTGCTCTCTATAAACATTGGATTTGTTACCTGGTGTGCAACAAGCCAGGAATTACTCATGCGAGACATTCGTTTATTTCAGATTTGCACAAGCCTGGGTACTTGGTGGTATTCCACAAATCAAACACACCGACTATTGAAACTTTTTACTATTTATGTTTTAGCAAACAAGGGAATTGGTGTTAGAAGCTATAAGTTACCTAATTATCTTATTAATTAGTATTCTATTAGTTAATTATTCTCTCTTGCTGATTAGTTTGCATGCTCAATCTTTCTCTTTTTTTGGGGTCGGTAGTCCATGAGCTGGTAGTTGGGATATCCCCCTGCTGGAATTATGTTTTACTCAGTCGGAACTGATTTAGCACAGTTGCAGAATTGGGTTTATTAATTTATTCCTTATCGTGGGAGTTCTGCCTGATGTCCTTGTGGTCCGCAAATTCTGCATTCTTTGTGTCCACTATCAGCAGTACATCCTTCTTCCCAGGCTTTGTTAACCTCCCCCTAGGTCTGAGGTCATTGAAACACGTTAAGCTCTAAACCTTAACAAGGCAATCCTAGTGACAATTCATTTGTCCTTCTAACACCTGAAGATCCCTTAGAGCTCGTTGGCTGCTCGCTGTTCCACGGATCTCCCTTCTCGTGGTTTGGGCTTGAAGGTATACAAAGGTCAAACGCCAAAGAACTTCCTCTCTCAAGGAAATGTTTCCATTTTCCACACACTGGCGGCGGTTCCCCCGCATTCCCTCACGCCGCTCTCCCGCGCGCGGGCGCAGTAGCGCGGCGCTTCTCCTGCCCTCGCTCCCCCCCCGCGCCGCTTCCCGACAGCCCCCGCGGCGGGAGCGCCGGGCCGCAGCCTCGCACCGCCCGCTGCCCTCAGGCTCCGTCCCGTCCCGCCGGGCCCCGCTCCCGCCATGCGCCACAGCCTCACGCAGCTGCTGGCGGCCTCGGCCGGCGGGGCCAGCCCCTCGGGCGCCGTCTGGCCGCTGGCCGGAGCGGGGCAGGCCCCGAGAGGGCGGGATGGCGGCGGGGAAGGGGACCCGGGCCCCGCGCGGCCCAAACCGCAGCCGCCGCCGCGGCGGGAGCCCCCGGGCGCCTCGGAGCCGCGGCGGCAGGAGAAGGAGGCCGAGGCGCCCGGCGGCCCGCTGGAGGTGTGGGAGCAAGAGGACTGGTTCCCGGGGCTGGAGCTGGGAGACCTGCTGGAGGCGGCCCGGCCGGACTGGGACCTGGACGCGGAGCTGAGCGACTGCTTCTGTGGGGACCCGGAGCCGCTGCCCGCGCCGGGCCAGGGCCCGCGGCCGCCGGCGCCCGGGCGGAGGAGCGGCGGGGCCGGGAGCCGGCTGAAGGCGGCGGCGGCGGCGCGGTTGAACCGGCTGAAGAAGAAGCAGTATGTGCTGGGGCTGGAGAGCCGCCTTCAGGGCCTGGCTGCCGAGAACCGGCAGCTGCGGGACCGCAACCGCGGCCTGAGCCGCCGCCTGCGAGAGCTGGAGCGGGAGAGCAGCTACCTGCGGGCCGTGCTGGCAAACCAGAGCGCGCTGGGGCAGCTCCTGAGCCGCCTGGCCGGGACCCGCGCTGGCGGGCTGCAGCTCAGCACCAGCCTCTTCAGGGACACGGGCAGCCCCCGCCGCCCCCAGCAGCACCTCCAGCCCTCCGGCGAGAGCAGCGACCACGACTACGCCCTGCCCAGCTCCCGGCCCCGCGGGCTGGAGGAGGCGGCGGCGGTGACTGAGACGGAGGAGGAGTGGGCGGCCCCCGGCGGGATCTGCCTGCACGTGGACCGGGATCAGGTGTCGGTGGAGTTCTGCTCCATCTGTGCTCGGCGGGCAGCGGCCTCCTTCAAAATGTAGGGTCAAGTACCTGCTGCAAGTACTCGTGGGGTTCTCACCCGTAAGGGCCTCGCGTCGCGGCGGAGGAAGCAGGCGATGGTGCGCAGGAAAAGAATCCATGCAGTGGTGATGGGGTGGTATTGGGGGAGATGCAAAGGTGGGGAACCTGGCGCTTACTTAAGTGGCCAGGGTAAGAAAAATTCTCTCGAACGGCACGTTGGGAGCCAGACGGTGGCCTTGGTTTAAGGTCCTGTAAATCTGGCATGTGGACGGTAGTGGTGTGAGCCTGTTTGGCGATGGGAGTCGCGCGGAGCTGCGTGCAGCAGTGCGACAGTGGTCGTGCAGACTGACACGCGCGTGGTGCGCACGCGGAGGTGCCGCCAGAGCCCGTTCGCAGCACTTGGGTGAAAAGATCATGCCGACTTGATGCATGAAGGTGTGCTCGGCTCCGCTTCGCAGTAAAGATAATGCTGACTATCCGGTCTTGAGTCAGATAATGTCTAGCCTGCTTATCCTGAGGAGCCGAAAATGCTTGCTTAGAAAACCAAACAAAAACTCCATTATGACATCGTCTCTGGACAGACTTAAGAAAATAGTAATGATCGGCAAAAGAAAGCATGCATATAAAATTGTACTGCATCTCAGTTATACATTACTATTAAAACCTCTCTGACAGTTTCTCTTTTAGGTGGTTGCCCTGCCAGGCTCCGTTGTGTAGGGGTTAAAGAACAGTCGTTTTCCACCTCGCAACCTGGTAAGGATCAATATATTCCCATAATGTGGTATCAGACAGCTTGCTTTGCTTATCCCAGTCTCTCGTAATGACTGGTTCAGAAAATGGTTTCTCTGGTCCTTGGCCTACTCTGCCAAAGCGTTTCTAGCTCTGGCAGAGGCTAGAATGGCAATTCTAGGATGGCAATTACAGTAAAGGTTCCAATCACATCAGTCTCATTAGCTGTTTTCCTTTTTTCGTTTTTGAAACAACTACATTGGCTGCATAGTAGCCAATACAGGACCTACATTTTGAATTTTAAAAAACTGCTCATGCATTTGAAATAAAAATTTCCTTTTAAACCAAGTATGTGATGAGTGGAAAAAGGAAAACATGCTAATAAGGGGGATGTGGCATTTATAGTCTTTTATTATAGGGGACTGTCCCAAAAGTCTAAGTAAATTGCTTTTTGAATGAAAAAAAGGAAAGGAAATTGTGACCTGATGGTTTAAAATGCTGTCTAGGGTTAGGGATGCACAGAACCATTCAAAAGCCCCTCTCTAGCTTGCTCTAATTCACAGTGCAGAGTTTTACCTGATGAAACAGCCTGAGCACTGGTTAAATCACTGCAGAGGAACCCTCACATAGAGGAGTTGCTCTTGCATGGACCTCTGAGGAGAATTAGGTTTGAAGAATCAGTGCATCGAAGTAACTCATTACTTTACTTTCCATAAGTAAATCTCTGTGCCCATGCACACTGAAATTCCTATGTTACTTCAGAGTAGCTTTAAATTTTAAAAATATTGCATGTATATGCATGTGCTTAACTCTACAGTAGAGTTCTTAATTCAGCCTCTTACAGTATCCAGAAATCTATAACCTGATATAATTAAGCACCGTTTGGAGATGAGCAAATATGTGTCTTGAGGCTAATGATATGAAAAATGCTCCATAATTGCTCCTGAGATAGGAGGAAAAATAGTTTGACAAAAAATAGTGTGTGTTTTCTTGTAGTAGTCAGTGTTTCTCCCTATCACAAAAGATGAATGGGTTCTTTCTTTCAGTTGTATTATAATGTTTAGGTTGTTTAAATGTATGTCAGTTGGGGGAAGATGGATTGTGAAAATGATAATATGTAAAGTGAGGTTTCACAAAGAATACTTTTCTAAAACAGATTAATTTATAAATTTTTTTGAAATGATGCTATTTAGTGTTTCTGAAGTCTTGTTTCTTAAAGCCTTAAATGTTGTGTTTAAGGCTAAGTAGGTGAAAGCATTTTCTCCCTGTCATTTGCTTTATTGGTGCTAGACTCTGTCACGTGTTCATCAGTAGAAAAGGAGATTGATTTTTCTTTGTGAAACATCACTGTGTGATAAAGTATATGTGTATTTAGCATCCTTGTTTTTCTTTATGCTAAAGTGGATTCAGCTGTGTTGGGGCAGAAGAGACGGGACCAGCTGCTGGCCACATTTCCTGCTTTATTTTAAAAGGTAGTATAAGAAATGAGAATAAAGAGGTAACAGGGCTTTTGCTGTCTTTGGTTAAAAAAAGAAGTTGAATGCTGGGATTATTTACTGTCATCTGAGATGATTTTTTAAAAAGGCAGTAGTCTGTCAAACAGGTTTTACTCCACTGTATGCAGAATTCCATCTGTTCAGGGGATATTGCCAGCACAAAAGAGATTTAGTGGGATATGTGTGACCTTACACCTCTGTGGTGGCATCAACAGGGCTGTTCAAAGTTTCAGTCTTAACTTGGGTGACTCTGCTCTAACTGAGGGGTTATACCAGTGCACAGGAATCAGAGTTAACCACCAGGACCTGCACTGACTGATAGGCAAAATGGAAATAATTTAGGTTCAACCTAATTTCAACCTGCCTAGCTCAGACCTCATGAACATGCTTCATTTTTCAGTTAATGTGCTTGAGGAAAAGAGAAACACTAACGTAGCAAGCATGGGATGTTCCAGTGGCGTTTTTATGGTTACTTCAGTGTAGGAGTGTTTTTTAAGTTAATTGAATATGCATTCTTTCTTGTCGCATCACTGCTGAATGGCAGGGCCAGGGACAGTTCTTCTGGCCTCTGCTGTGAACCTGCACAATGCTCTGTCGTGACACGACCTGTGGCTGTGTCTGAGAGCAGCTGATTTTCTCACATGCAAACTGATGTATTGTGGTACAAGAACAAGGTCAAGTCCCAAGAAAGTCAGTGGCTGCAGGCATTTCTAGTGCCTACTGAATCATATTTAAACCAAATAGAAGGGAGGAAGTTATTTGAAACTAACCAACTGTACTATCTGTATGGTGTATTATTAATGTAGCTTTTTGAAGTGAAAGCCTTGAAATGACATAACTTAATACTTGAAAATATATTGTAAATGTTTCTTTGTAATTATGTGCCATTCAGATAAGAATACAATATCATAATAAAATCAGACTTGTTGATCTTTCAGTTTATGGGCTCAAATGTTTTCTTCATCTTTTTCTTTTCATGAATGACTTGGTTCTTTTAACAAAGTGGTAAAACAGAAGGGAAAATGTTGCTGGTATCTCTGGGTCATCAGCTGGAAAACAAGATAAAATGGATTAGGGTGTGCAGGAGAAATGTTCTTGCTCTTCTGTCTTTAAAGGTAATCCTGTGGTGAGGACAACACAAAGGTGTTATTCCTTGAAGTGCAGATAGAGCTGTACTTCTGAGAATCAGCACTTCCTGTATTTCATAGTTCTTAATTTTTTATCAATATGGATATATTTGATCAATGTACCATGGAGGAGTAAAATACTTACATGAACCCTTCTGTGGTTTATTGGCATCTTCCTCCTTTCTGTTCTATTTTTAGGCTCAGAAGTTTCATGACTGGTTAATTACATGCTGTTGAATCACAATCTTTCATCAAATTGCTGTTTCCACACTAAGCACCAGAATGAGTGTTTAAAACAAAAGGTTTGACAGTGCTGGAAGGACAGAATGTTGTCATGGCTCTGGAGTGGGCCATGTACTGTATGTTCAGATTTCTGTTCATCTTAAATGCTTTATTTGTAGAGGACAGTTTAAAATAGTGCACTGGCTTTCTAGCATGAGGGGATTCCAGTGAAAGTTGTCTGCAGCTTGATGAAATGGAGCATTTCACAAAAAGTACTGCATAAAAATGTAAAAGCATACTGGCTCTGCCTTTTTGGCATCTAGTTGTAGAAAATTCAGTGTTTCAGCACTGAAATGTGTTTGGTAAATTGTATGTACCACAGAACCAAGTGCTGCCAGTGTTCAGCTGCACAGCTATGCTACCTGCATTGACCCTTCTTTTCTTCTCAACAGAGTCACTTGAAGACTATTTAGTTTTAAAATAAGAAACAATTTCATGCTCAGTTCTCCTTTAGTCCTCTGGAGTTTGATCCTGGTGCTGTGACTCTTGGTAGTGTTCTAAATTAACTTCTCTTTCCTATGAAGAGCTTTGCAGCACCTGGGAGTTAAAAATAAATTGCTGCTTCTGTAAGTTAGCTGCCTGGAGAGATGATATCAAAGGAAATGCAGGGAGCCATGTTCCAGCACTTGGCATTTCCAGATAATCAGATTTCTCATCCCATTTGTCAAAATTGTAATCAGTTTTCCCTGTGAAACACAGAGATCTTTGGCAAAATCCAAAGGCCCTTTGTACATTTACTGATTTTTAAAATGCTGTGTTTTCTGGTGTTTGTAGTTAAGGAGGTTTTCTGGAATCAGCATTATTCTGGTTATAGGGCTGTATTACTATTAGTTACACTGTAAAATGTCTGAAGGATATGTTAGGTATGGGAGCCGTTCAAATAGACTCTGTTTAAAGAACACCCTGTGCAAAAATTGCACATTGCCAGCTGCTGATTCTACATTTTTTCCACCCAGTTTAAGTGGGATATGCAGATGTGGAGAAATAATTCTGCCTGTGCTCATTAGCAGGAGGATGCCAAGGGCAGGACTTGCACATGTACCAGGAGGATTTGCAGGAGAAGTAGAATACATTGTAATGATGACACAGCATTTAGAATGGTGCATCTGCAAGAAAAAAGTGGAGCTTTTTTTAGTATTTCTGTTGGCTCTTATCTGTAGCTATTCTTGGCATTCTTTTGGCCATAGTTCAGACTTGGAGTAGCCTGAAGTCCTTTCTGTGGGATATGTAGCCTGTGCCTGGCTTGTTTTACCACAGTGGTGGAAAAAAGGATCCAACTAACACCTGTTGTCTCTCAGTGTTTGTGGGGAGTTTATTACAGTTGTCAGAGGCCGAGGACTGGTTCTTGGGGGTTGCAGGTGATAGGTCATATCCTGTGTATGAAACAGGGAATGGAAGGAACAGTCCCAGATTCCTGTGTAGGCGCTCCTCCACATGTGTGCATGCCAGAACCGGGGTAGCATCTTGCTGTCCTGTGGAATGCTGAAACAATTTCAGATTTTATTGATTGCCTCTGAGAACACTTCTTCCCCTCATCAGTTTCAGGAGAGGTACAGAAGGTGTAACTGAAAAGTTTCCTTGTTCATGAACACACCACCTTTCTAGACCTTCCTAGTCTCAGGAGTGCTCAGCTGACCTTTGATGTGACTAGTACTGAACATGTAGAGTACACGCCTGCAATTTGTGTGCTCATCAGTGATGCTGGGAACAACCATCAGTCTTTGCAACTTACTAAAATGTTGAGGAATGTAACTTTTTAATATACAATCTTCACCTTTCACTTGAAGAAATGAGTATCTAAAAAGGATGTGGTTTGTCCAGGTCAGACCACTAAACATCAGAACATGCATTTTGGTGACTGAGGATAAATTATCACTTCAATTTATACCAAAATGAAAGTAGTATTTGGAAGGGAAGATCCTTTTGAATCTTGCCCTTTAATAAGCACTAGAATCTGTTTATAGTATTTTTAACTACATAATGTTAAACACAATAATCAATGAGCCAATCATTGTCATTCTTAAAGATACTATTGCACAATAACACCTTTATTTTATGTTTTTATTATCACAGGTAAGTGGTTCTGTTGGTTAAAGTCTGGTGGCTTCCGGAGATATGACAATGCACTGTCATGTAAAATACTTGGTCCCTGGGAATCTCCAGTCGGGGTGATTAAGGTAAGGCAGATGGGAACACCACGTGACACAGCAACAGTTTGAATCAAGAAAATGAAATGATCTCTACCTAACAGAGACTGTATTGCTGCTGCTCCTGGGTATAGATAAAGAATGTGTCATGCTCCTGCTGTAATGACCCATTTTGAAGGAAAAGGTAGATAAAGATGATGAAACTCCTTCAATATATTTTCATCAGCATTACAGCATAAATTTTAACTCCTTTCAATTAAAGGTCTCAATGTTGAATTCTTAATTCTCATTAATAAATATTTCCATGTGCATCAGGGATGCTAGAATTTTACTGAAGTGACTGTTGACCACGAACTGTACAGCTTTTACAGTTACAGAACCATTTAGGTTTGGAAAATACTCCCAAGACCATCAAGTCCAACCCTTTATTTATCACCAGCTCCTTGACTAGACCATGGCACCAAGTGCCACATCCACCTCCAGGGATGGTGACTCCTGCCACCTCCTGGGCAGTCCATTCCAATGCTCAGCAAGCCTTTCTGAAACTAAATTCCTGAAATTCCTCCTGATGTTCAACCTCAAACTCCCCTAGCACCATTTGAGGACATTTCCTCTTGTCCTGTCACTTTTAGCCTGAGAGAAGAAGCCAGCCTCCACCTATGGCGGGTTAAGACCATACTCAGATTGGGAGTATTGCTTCTGTAGAAGAATTCCTGATTTAGCTCTCAGACTGCAGAATACACTAAGGACACCTCATGCAGTAGGAGAGCTGCAATTTATATTGCTCTATAACATATAGCCACCAGTGTGAAGACAACACCTGACTCATAAATGCATTACTCTGGGCCAGTGATCTTAGACATAGCTGAGATTCCCCAGTAATGGCAGCGGCCCTCAAAGGCCTCTCACCACAGCCCCATCCTTCAGGAAAAGGCTTAATTTCAAGGCAAAATGGTTACAAGGCCAGAGGCTGTTTTTTTGATATGCTGGGAAGCCTGGCAGGACTATCACTCCTGATTGCTCTGTGATAGAAGTGTTCTCCACAGTGTGACCCATCTAACTGTGTAAATGGGATAATCTTGTGACAGAAGTTTTGTGCTAGCTGAATGGAGAAAAGGGAGAAAAATACATTTTGAGTAGATCACTAGTAAAACCTTCCTTGATATTCCCTCTTTTAGTTGTGGGGTTTTTTGGGTTGTTTTTTTGGTTTTGTTTTGTTGGCTTTTTGGTTTTTTAATAAATTTCTGTGGTCTGCATTATGAAGGAAAAACCTTTTTTTCAAGAATACTCATTTTTTTACAGCTTCTAAAAGCTGTAGCAGCACCTTAGAACCAAACATTAAGCAGGGACTATAAATGCTTTCTTGCCTCCCATTTCCAAAGCAACACACCTGTCTGCTATTCAAGTATGTACACTAAACTGGGCGTAATGAAAAGTTTAACCTGCACTTAAATTCAAAACTTAAAAAATGCCAGTGCAGAGACTGGTTTTGTATTAAAAAGACACAGCAACACTTCTTTTTCTTGTTTATTATGGTTACTTATCCAAGGCAATGAAAAAGTTGCTTTACTTCACTCAGGTAGCTCCTCAGGATCCCTGCTACTGTTCATCTGCAGCAGCATTTTGATATATATTCCGTGCTGTTTAGTGGCAAGATACAATCCAGTGAGAGCCTGTACCAGTATGCCCAGACTCATCTTTCTGAAGACAGGCTGAGAAGTTGTGAGCCAGTAGCGTAACAGGTTTTCTTTCCCTGGCAAGGGAGTTGACATATACCTAAACAACAGAAACAATGGTATAAACTTTTTTATCCATGTAAGTGTCAAGATTTAACATAAAGATTTATGTAGATGGTAATTTTCTCTTCTCCTATGTTAAATTCACCTGGTGGTACTGAGCTCTCTCCATAAATGCTTTAAAACATCCTGACCATACCCTGGTCTCACTAAACCTTGCCCTGCCCTTGCTGTGCTCTGAACTACACAGAATGACACCTGTCAGGGGCTTTGACTGCTGGGCACTGCCCAGGGTCACTGAGGTCTCTTGGCTGTCCGGCCACCCTCAGTGGTGGCAGGATGGCAGCCACCACTGCACACACCGAGGCACAGCCTGGGAAACTTGGAAGGCTCCTGCTAAACACAAGGGCTTCCCCACGGATCACTTTGCAGATCTTATTTCACTTTGGTGTAGCTCTTACAAACTTCATTTTGTAATTAGATGACCTTAATGTATATCTCCTTCCACATCCTAAATGTCTACAAGAAGTCAAATGCGCACAGATCAAATATCTACAGAATTTACACTGAGAGCAGAACATTTTACCCATAAATACATTTCACTCAATACATTGCAGATAAGACGTACCTGGCTGCAAGGCTTCCATTCAAGGGGATAGCCAGGAAAATGGGATAGAAACCACCCACAACAGCACCTACTAATCCTCCTCTGATCACAGCACAGACCTCACAGTTCAGCTGACCTGCATGGCAAACCGTATTTCACCGTCAACATCTACACATCCTCCACCACATCAGTTTATAAGCTGCATGCAAGAACCTGAAAACAGGCTCTTGAGAGAAACTTCCAAGCTCTACAGGTATCCAAAAAATTATAAAGGAGAACTCTTTTAAAAAACAACGACAAAAACCCCAAAACAACAACAGAACAGTCCCAAAAGAAAAACTGAGACAAACCAAAAAACAATCACTCCCACTCCAACCTATGAAGAATTTATCATTCGAAAGCTGACCTTCAAATGAAATTGTACAGATGAGGGGAAATTGCACTGCTTTGTTGCAGTCACTTTTACATGTCTGAGTGAAAAATGCTGAAAATAAGTTATGTGTAAAATAACTTTTTTAGAAACGTATATGAACATATATGTCTCCTTTCCCACTCCACTTTGAGAACTCACTGCTGTCCAATGCATTCTGTTTTTCAAACTCTGTTTTACAAACTGAAGTTTTTCAAGACCACAATAGTTTAAGAGCACTTTTCTGCAGGGAGAAAAAGCTCCTCTAGTGTTCCCTTGTGTACAGAAAGCAAAGCCCTTTCAAAAAGAAAAAAAAAAAAAAAAGAAATGAAAAGGTGTTTACCTGAAAATAAAGGGTCATACACAAAAGCTTCATAAATTGCTGCTGTTGAAATAAATGGAATAACAGCCATTGGAAGAGCAGACACCAGGGAAGCCTTTCTGACATGTAGGATGCTCCTGAAGAAATTATTTGCTGCTAAGCCACATAAGCTTGAATTTGCTGCTAGGAAGTATTTTCCATGATTACAAAGGTTCCTGTGAAAGAAGGAAGTTGTTTCAGCAGCTGAGAACTGTAAAAAAGTTTAGTCCACACTACAATTCTCTTCTGAAAATCCTGCAACAAGGGGTAAGGGACATAAATCTCTCACTGATGCAAAATGGAGAGTAACTGCTTCCAAAAGCAGCCAGGGCAGCATCCTTTGTTATGTGCCTGAGTTTACACACACTTCAAGAGAGAAGTGACAGGTTGAGAAGCTCTGGCTACAATTTTTTTCCCCCATTATTATAGTTAATGGAAACTTCATTAAAGCTCTCCTTATAAGCATGTTTCTAATGATAATGTTTTCTGAAAAGAAATGAGGAAATATATATACAATAAAATATATAACTTTAAAAAGTCAAGTCAATCTACTTGTAATTCTTCTACATTTTAATGTTTTGAGTAATATTAAGCACTACAGAAAAGATTGCAGCGATGCACTTGCTAATCTCACAAAACTTTAAACACAAAAAATGTCAGACATCAAGGACACCAACTATTTCTTGTTTTGAATAGGAAAACTCAAATTTTACCTTTACAATCACAGGCAATGAAACACAGGCAAACATGCTAATAAATATGGAGGACTGAGATTAAAATTTTAGCAGCATATTTAGGTACCCAAAACAAAGCAAATTAATGTACCCAGGACCAGCAGAATCTACTTAGTGAGATACAGAACTGCTACACTGCACGAAAGAAAAGGAGGATGGAAGAATTGGGGTTTGTGGCTTTTTGTTTGAGCTCCCTCATGTTAAAAACATGTGCTTGGCTAAACAGGAACTCTCAGTTTGACTGTAGCTCTTCCTCTCCAGACATCAGTGAGCTCCCCTTTGGATACAAGCTCTAAGTCCTGCCAGTGACTGGCAGCTACTTCTTTCCTAGGCTGAGCAATCCATAAGTCCAGAGTTTCTATCCAGACATTACCACATCACTGCTGAGTGTCTCCCTCCCCTGCTCTCCTGAGGAAGGAGGAGTTTTGGGAGCTGAATGTGAGGGCAGCAGATCCTACACAAAGTTGCAGCCTTTGCTTTCTCACCTGTGTGGGGAGGCCCTCTGTTACTACCAGCAGTTTGTTTAGCCAGCAATTTAGTCCTATTTTAAAAAGAATATAAATAAAATAAGCTTCTGATTACTCTTATTTCTAAAAGATTTATCCAAGCTGATACAGACATGCAAATGGCTCATAACAGAACCAGCTCTGGTCCAGTAAGGTTTTGCAGTGACATGCAGTATGACAACCCAAAAGGTCATTTGTGAGGCCCAGAAGGCATTCAGCTGGCTTTGTGCTGTACAGAACCCTGCTGGTGAGCCTGCAGGACTCCAGCTGACTCCTCCACCACCAGCTGGACACCTTAGTCTCGCCTTCCTGAAACAGGGAGCGGTGCAGAATGAAATGCAGAAACCAGCAGGATGATGCTCACTCAGTTCTGGCCACAGGCCAGCCCTGCTGGACAGAAGATGACTCCAGCAGAATCACATTTCAGTTTCCTAGAAAATGTTTTAGCTCTAGCACAGGACTGTGAGAATGCTGAGAGCCAGTGAGGGCTGATCAGCCATCACAGAACCCTCAGCACTGGGGAGCACATGCCAGAAACCAGCGGGGCAGGGCCAGAGCCAGCACTGAAATAACCATATTGAAAGAACATAAAACAAGTCTTCTGTTCTGGACAACAACAAACATCTTCAAAATTAACTAATTTTGGAACTGCAAGGAGAATTTGTAATACAAGAATAAGGAAAAAGAAAAGCCTTCAAGACTTGAAAAGTCTGATGCACTTCATTTATTTTACCAGCACTTACTGATCTGCTTTAGGAAGCTCATTGAACATCTTTTGTATGATTTCCATCCGCTTAAATCTTTCCAAAATTAGTCTTTGCTGTGGAGAATCTAGTTCAAGAAACTCTCTTCCTGTCATCTTGAAGTTCTGGATTATAAGGAAAAAAGAAAACCCAGATGTAATCCCAGGTACCTAGCCCCAGTATGAATCAAATAAACATTTAGACTCTTTGCCACTATGAATCACAACTACATTCCCTATTTTGCATGGCAATACTCCAGGTTTAAATTGATTTAACTGTTAAAGAGACCTGTAAGAAAAAGCCCCAGCCAAATAAATCCATACTTTGTAGGCATAAATCAGAAAGCCTACAGTTGCAGTGGGTTTCTGTGGCAAGGTTTTGGCAGCAGGGGGATGCAAGGGTGGTTTCTGAGATGCCAGGAGCTCCCACATGTCTGACAGAGATGTTCCAGCCAGCTCCACGACAGACCTGCTGCTGGCCAAGTCTAAGCCCAACCACTACAGTGGTGGTGTGTGTGGGGAAGTCAAAAAAGGCTAAAAAGTGTTGCAAGACAGTAGCTGGAAAAGAGGAATGAGAACACATTTGAGGAGCAGCCCTGCAGACCCCAAGGTCAGTGCAGGAGGAGGAGGAGCAGGAGCTGCTCCAGGTGCTGGAGCTGGGATCCCCCTGCAGCCCCTGGAGCATCCCATGCCAGAGCAGCTGGATGCTCAAGGAGGCCATGAGCCAGGGGGAGGCCTGTGCTGGAGCAGGCTCCCGGCAGGATTTGTGGCCACATGGGGAAAGGAGCCCAAGCTGCAGTGGGTTCCTGGCAGGAGCTGTGAGCCCAGGGGGAACCCACACTGGAACAGCCACTGCTACTGACGGACTGAGCCCTGTGCAACAGGAGGACAGGACACTGGAGGAGTTCATGGAGAACTGCAGCCTGTGAGAACCACTGCTGTTGGAGAAATCTGGAGAACTGTCTCCCGTCGAAGGGACCACCCACTGGAAAAGGAAGAGTGCAAGGAGGAAGGAGTGAGAGACAGCACGTGGTGAACTGATTACAACCCCCATTCCCTGTCTCCCTGCACTTCTAAGAGGGAGAAGGACAGAGAAAAACAGCAGTGAAGGGAGGGGTGGAGGGAAGGCATTTTAAGGATTTGGCTTTACTTCTCATTAGCCTATTCTGATTTGATTGACAGTATATTCAATTTCCCCAAAGTTTACTGTTTTGACTGTAATGGTAATTGGTGAGTGATCTCGTGTCCTTACCACAACCCCTGAGCTTTTATTCATACTTTCTCCCTGTCCTGTTGAAGGGGACAGAAAGGGATAAGAGCATCTTGGTGGCCACCTGAGGCCAGCCCTTCCCAACAGCTCTTGACAACACCTGGAGTTTAGTGATTCAAGTGCTTCTTTTCCTACACGTTTTAGTGCAGAGGAAATTCTCCCAGACTTACTGTGCCAATCACACTTACCTGAAGTTGCTGTTATAAGGTGAAGGCCGTGTCCTAAGCCCTACCTATGGGACCGAGCCCGCTTCGGTTGGGGCTTGGCAGGATGCAGCAGCGGAGAAAGCGGGCAGAGCGAGCAGGATCGCTTCAGGCCGCCCGAGGAGAGCCCCCAAACCCCTGCTGTGGGATCCCACAGACCGCACGTCACAGAGCTGAAAGCACCCCCTCTCCCCGAGCCTTGTACGCGCGCCTCTCCCTGAGCCCTGCGCGCCGCTGGAGGCGGAGGGACCCTCCCAAAGCCCCGCGGCCCGGCTCAGGTCAGAACCCTCACGCCGGGAAACTGCCGCTCGACCCCGACCTTCAAACCCCACCGCTACCATTCGCTGCCCCCGCACCGCGCTGAGCATCCCGGCCTCCCCGCCGGGTTCAGGCTCTGACCTTGAACTGTACGGACGGACACAGCCCCGCCGCTCTCACCGAATCGCTCCCGCCGCCTACAACATGGCTCCTCCCACCTCACGCCCTGCCCGTGGGCGCCGCCATCTTGCTCGCTCACATGACCCAGGGCCCTCCAAGACCATCTGTGATTGGGCCGTTGGCCGCCGGCCCAGCATGGCGGCCGCCGATTGGCCGCGGGCCGGCGGGCGGGGCCCGGCGCTGGTTGCCGGGGCGGCGGATGGCGGCGGCGGCGGCTCCTCGATGGCGGCGGGGCTGAGCGCGGATCCTGCACCGGCGGTTGGGACGCGGGGACTCCCCCTTCGGTGCGGGGGGGCCCAGTCCTCGGGGTAACCCGCTGATCCCTCCCCTCAGCCCGCGCCCTTTCCCCACCTGCCCCTCAGCCCCCGGAACGCCCGCTGCCCCCTTCCCTCGCCTCCGGCTCCTTTGTGCTCCCTCCCCGTCCCGCCCCCTTCGAGCGCCCCTCGCCCCGGCTGCGTCTCGCTTCGCCCCACCTCCAACCCCTCCCTCATCCCCTCCGCTCCTGCCTGCCGCTTGTCCCTCAGCAGCCCTGGGGGGAATTGCCCTCGTCCATAAAGCCAGCCTGGCTCCGGCAGTTCACCTGCACCCATGGCAGCCCTCCAGCCCCCTTGTTTCACACAGCCTGTGTGCCTTGCTGCGCCTCGGAAAGCAGCAGGCGGACCCCTTTGGGTTCCAGAGAGCTGGGGGAGGGTGGAGTGGGGAGGGGATGAAGGGGGCCAGCCCCTGAGGGATGCGGGGACGGCAGATCCCGGCTGCGAGCATCAGAGAGCGGAGCAGAGCCGCCCCTTCACACAGGTCCCGCGTCCCCAGAAGAGGATGCACGGCAGAGCCCTGTCCTGTGCGCCGCAGCTCCTCATCCTCGCGGGGAAGGGAAGCGCTCGGAGCTTGTCCGCCTTCCTCAGACTTCTCCTTAACCAAGTAGATGAGGAAAATCTATCCCGTTTCTGTTTCTCTTTTTGTTTTTCCAGAAAAAGGGGGAGAGAGAGAGAGGCTGATACTGAAGCCAGCCAACTGCGCTTCTGAGTGGGAAACTCCGGACTGATCTCATGGCTTGCTTTTTATTTCATTAATACTTCATTATCTCTGAAAATGAACCTTTTGTGAAGCTCTTCTCCTAACTCTCCTTATTCCTCTTTCACGAGGTGGCTGCTGCTGTGCAAGGGAAAGAATGGCATGAAGTAAATGACTCCAGTACAAAGCAATCTGCTTTGCCCAAGTGCCCAGTGGGCAGCACTGTCACTTTAATAATTCCAGGTCAAGGGATTGCTTTCCTCGTTTCAATCCTCTCTTTTAATACATGGGAGGATCAGAGGGACATTAAAGACCGTAAGGCTGGGTGGCTTGCAGATAATAAAAATGAAAGTGTCTGCCCAGTGACTTCTGTTGGGTAAGAGGGTGATATTTGAAGGCTCTTGTCTGGTGAGGAAAAAGGGATCTTTTCAGTCTGCTGTGTAGTCTCCTAATACATAGCTAGCAAAATTAATTCAAGAAGTGAAAGAGCTTAAAGAGGCGCTTTGGATTGTTTTTGTCTTCCTCCTTATTTGGATTACTTGGGCGTTTTTGTCCTGCAAATAATATGTTTTTGAGCGTGTACAGGTGGAGTATTGAGACAGCTGCCTAGAGATGGACTGTGCCTTAATTGTATTGCATAAAATCTTTTAATTTTCAAACTTTGCTGCCAGAAGAGGAGTTATAATAAGATTTTATATTGCCAAGGAACGTTTGCTCTTGTATTTTTATAGAGTCAAATATATTTTAAAGAAATTGAAAGCATCTCTTTAAAAAGAATCAAAAAGCTTCTTTTTCCCCTCTTTTTTTTTTTTCTTAATTGTGGAGAGCATCGCAAGTCCAATCCAAGGGAACAGCAAGTATTCATAGAAATGAAGATTGGAGCTGCATTTCCTTACTGAACTGTAAAAGTGTTCTGCAATAGATAGTCAGTTCCTGACCTTGCAGAGTGTTCCAGTAGTACTTCGTTAGTACCTGTAAATAAGTGCTTGCAACCAGATTCAGAAGTAGGAAGAAGAATGCCAGTCAAGAAGAAAGGTGGGCTATGAAGCTTCATGTCTCATATTGTGTCTTCATTGTGTTAGATTGCTGATTTCTAGTACTTAACCATTTCAAATTAAAAATGCTTTCATGGGGAATGGCAATCGTTTTTCTTTTGCATTGAAAATGGGAGAAAAATCTGTGCACTTACAATAATAATTTTTAAAAGTAACTTTATGCTGTGCTTTAAGATTTACTTCAAATTTGGCCTCAAATGTTTTTTTGTAAAGATCAGCTGTCCGGGATTTTGAACAGGCACCAAGAGAAAAGCTTGATGTTTAACTTTGTCAGAAGCCTCTCTTACAAACGCTAATAAATTTGAAAACCACAGTTTAATCTGTTATCTATTTGTGACACGTTTGGCGGATAAACATCAGCTATCAGTAGCAGCAGAAAGAAATAACAAAGTTTCAAGGCTGATTTTAAAACCCAAGTTATGAGAGCTGTGTTTTGAAGGTGATTTGAATGTGTTTTGTTTTTTTTTTTTTTTTAATGTGATTTTAATTAGCTTGAATTTCCATGCTTTAGTACAATATAAAACTACTGTCTTTAAGGCTGTAGTAGGGCAGCATTTAAGAAAAGACAAACATACATTTGGCCTCTTCTCACCTCCAGTTTGTGTTTGCAGCTTTGGAAAATGTTGCTTCCAGTGATCAAACCACAATTGGGAAGTATATGAAGGCAAATTGTTACTCTGAAAATACTCACCAACTTTAGGTTATTTCTGGTTTCTTGCAAACTGGACACCAATTTCAAGTTTCTGAATATGCGAATAGAGTAAGGATCATGGGAACCTTTTTTTTCTCAGCTCATCTGTCCAGATGTGCCTGGGTCTAATATATCCCTGGATCTGATGATACAAAATGTGGGGGAGAGGGCAAGAAATGAATGTTACAAACAGAAATGAGGATGTAATCAATGTGACTTTGGATTCTCTTCCGTATAGGAATAATCATTACTTATGAGTTAACACTTACTATATAAATAATGATAAAACACACAGATTGCCAGAATTATTTTCATGAAAAAAACAATAAATGGGATTTTGTGATTGTGTTTTCGAAAATGACAGTGTAGAAAATGAAATTTCAAACCTGAAATATTTTAATGAATGGCCTTGTCATTCATGGAATCACTTGGCATTATGTGTAGTAAAGGTGGAAACGTGTGTGGGGGAGTTCCATTCCTAATAATTCATCCTGCTGTGCTGTAAAAGTGTCACCCTGATGTACTGGGGAGGCTTCTGTATCCTACCTGTTTACAGAAGGAAAACTGAGGCTTTTCATTATTTAAGTTTTAATCCTGATTTAGGTGATTTACACTAAGGATGTTTCTGGGCCAGACGTTCAGCTGTAATTCAGTTTCCGAATACTCGCTGCAGGAATTTAGGGGTGAAATCTGACAGGCTCCTTTGTGCAGAAGTGAGATTGGCAATCACAGCAGTCCCCTCTGGCCTTAAAAATCTCTGAATTTCCTGTTTGTTTCCAGGCACTTGGGCTCAGTCTTAGTGTACACCAAAGCTTGACTTCTTTGATGTTACAAGGATGTGTGTTTTGGCAGCATTAAAATATAAAGTCAAGAGACCCAAATGTTCCCCTTGAAGTACTTTAAATTGTCACATCAATCAGTGTACTGAAGTTGCCAGTGTGAATGTATTTGATTATTAAAAGGGTATTGTTAAGAATGTATTTAAGCATGTAAATTGCAGGATTAAAAATGTTGGCGAATCAGCAACTTCATTGTGATTTTGAGCGACTTAATTTGTCTAGTTCATGCAATAGACTTTAACTTTCTAAATGCAATTAAAAGCATGCTGGCAACTCAAAGCATTTTGCTGTCTTTAAAAAGCTTGCTATTTTTTCAAGTAATGCCCGTTAGTTCTATGAATATTAGGGAGATTGAGGGGTTTCTTCCATGTTTGTTTTTTTTTTTTTTCCCATTTATTTGCCTTATGATTTTGACAGCAGTTTGTGGCTAACTAGTTCATATTTCTGATGATGACTTATTTTCCTTTTTTGGGGAAAATCTGGGAGTTCATGTCTACCGTCCTGCCCATCGAGGGCATCTGTAGAAATCTCAGTGGGATACTCTCTTGCAGGCTGTGCAGAAGTATCTCAGTATCAGCATTGAGGACAGGATTATCCCTCTCCTTGTCAGCACTTCTTTCTGCTATTTTGGATTTGATTAAAATATTCTCCTAAAATCAGTATGGAGACAGGGAAACCTGTGACACAAGCTTTGAAACATACTGATATTTATCTCTGGAAGTTGTTGCCGAGCACTGTTTTCTTTGACACTGGCCGGTTGTGGGTCTTTCTAAAGAACAATTGAAGCATTTTGGGAACTTACCTTTGAAATAGCTCTCACTTCTAGTACCAGTCTTCACATTTCACATAGCTTTTCACGTAATTTACACTTCACCTTGCTGCTTGCTGTGATGCCTGCCATCTTGCTTTTAAAAGTCCAGGCCTGTATAGTTAGGAAAAAAATAGTTTGCTTAATAATAAAAATAGTATAACTTATAGGAAGCTTTAATTTATTATGGATGTGGGGGGAAAAAAAAAAGTCGTGGTTCTGGTGATGTGTCAGTACCTGATTTCCATTGCCTGATGTGCTGGAGTGAAAATATTTTGGTTTTCTCACTTCTGTGTGGAGGGCAATGAGGCTTTACCTTCCCAGGAATGTTCACAGAGGTGACATGCCTGCTGGCAGTACCAGCAAAAAGCAAGGCTGGAAAGAGACTATGGAGTATCCTGTGGTGTTGGATGTGCTCCCTATAGGTATGGGGTGAGATATTGGAGATATTGTATGGATTGGTGCACTATTGCTGCGCAATTAAACACAGGGCTCTTCTATTTGGCTTTTGCTCATCTCTAATTTTGAAGTACACTTAAAGTTTTAAATCAGACAAGACAGACATCTGATTGTAGTTACAGAATGATTTGTTAGACAGTGCCATTTAGAGATGGAATGAGATGAACAATTTTGAGAAGTAAATAAATTCATTATTTTTGCTTAATTTTTACCTTTTTCAAACTAGG